CCCCCCCTCCCCAAGTCAGCCGCAGCCGCCTCGTTAAACCAACATCATATTATTCCGCGGAAATTTATGGCGGAGTTTGTGCTCAAGCCGTTTCACTTTAAAACTTTAAGGACGTAAACACATACGACGCGCACACGACGCACACGAACACAAAGTGCACCTCGGGACCTCGGGGGTCGCTGCTCTCCTCGCCATTCACACCACCTACCTACCTATACACCTAACTGCAGCGACTGTCGTCTGCTGGCGAAATAAAAACAAGAAAAATATTCATTTAAAAAAAATGAATACACCGTAAACCATTCGAAAGAAATGTATTAGTTTCTGCAACTAATTACAGGCAGAAAAAAAATCCCAAAAGCAATAGGCAGCCAAACAAAGCGCAACAAAAAAGACAACACACCATTCATTCATTTCTACTAAAGCTTTTGTCGTCTATATGTTACATCATCCACTACATTTTTCCTTTGTTGTTGTGAAAGAGACTTTCGAAAAAGAATAAACATAAAAAGTGCAAGGGGTAACGGCTGCATGCAAATGCGGACCCGGCGGCGGCGCCCGCCTATTAGCAGGTGCTTCCAGCAGCGCCTGGAGTTCTCCTGGAGTTCTCCTGGAGTCCTGCACGCGCGGCGCCGGTCTCCGGCGCGACGCGCGCCAATAATCAAGGTGTCCCTTCCCTTCCCTTCGGGTTCCGCTCCAGGAGCTCCGCAGGAGAGAAACTGCGTAGCTCGCGTCGCATTGTTAGGAATGGACTACGGACTACTGTAGTTCACCCCTTTCAAACCCAGATTATCACATCAAGTTGGTAACGGTTGAGCAGTTTCTACCCCCTACCCTCAACCCGTAACGATCTCAGAGTAAGAGAGTGAGATGGGGGTAATGGAGATGGAGACAGACGATGACAAGTAGTAAGATCAGCGAGTTCACTACAGTGTTCTGTACGTACCTCTGCTGGTCCTACGAGGTGGGCGAGACGTTCCCCGAGCTCCGGAGGCTGAAGGGCGCGGCGGGCTCCGGGGAGGCGGCGGGGGGCGGCGCGCCCGGCAACGCCCCCGCGGTGGGGCCCAGCGCCAGCTGGTATGGCAGGTGCAGGTGGTGGGGGAAGAGCCCGGCCATGGTGGAAGCCGCCGCCCCCGCCCCGGGGTGGTGGTGATGGTGGTGGTGGGGGTGGGGGTGCGGGTGGGGAGCGGCCGCCGCCCCCGGGTGGTAGGCGAAGCCGAGCTGGTACTGCAGCGGCGCGAGGTGACCGATGGAGTTGATGGGCGCGCACAGCGCGGACGCGCTATACAGGTGCGCCGGCAGCAGCCAGGGCATCTCGGAGCCCTCCCGCACCGAGAGGTTGAGGATCTCCTCTTGGGCTGCGAGGGCAGAAAGGCGCACATTGAGCAGGGGAGCCGCGGGAGAATCAAACGCCGGTGGTTTATACCGACATGAACGTCGTCATAGAGTGGGCTAAATTCCCACGGAAGCACAAGTGTTGTGCGAGCTGAGCACCTGCCTGCAGGCGTAGATGCAGCCCACTACACACCGGTGGTTACGTGAGAATTTTCCCCAACTTTGAGAACATTGAAATGTCCCCATACAAAATTAGATAAAAAATTGTCTTATAGAAATAAGTATATCATGGCTTTTAATTATTTCACAGTAAAATGCCATCTTTGGAGTGACAAATTATTCTTTGATGATTATGCTTTTGAGAGAAATTGCCATACTTGCCACGGTATTCTTACTTCTAAGACTAGTTTATGTTTTTGAACACGTAATGGTCGTCATGATGCGAATACAAGGTGACAATCAGTTTAAAATTATAACGTTAATAATATAACACTGGAAGTACATGGAATAATGAATCGACCTTGTTTTCTTTTCTTTTTTTGTTCTGTGAAGTCATCTGTCCGCGCGCGGGGGGGGAGGAGGAGGCCGCAGGCTGCGGCCCGCAGCTCGACCACACAGGGTGTAAGATTGCAATGGACTGCACATCTTAAATTCATAACTAAGCAAAATTGATTCAAGAACGTTTTTGAGCTTTTACGGGTCTCTGAGTTTAGAATATTCAATGCAATCGCTCAATTTGACGAAATAAAAAGGCACATTTGAGATGTTTGATTGCTTGGATTGCATCCATGTACACGATTGCAACATGTCGACTTTCACGTGTTTTTTGGGGGTTAATTTTATCTCCTGAAAAGTGAAAAAAATTAATAGTTAGTGTCCGACGTAGGCTGGAAACGCAAAGACATTATTGTTAGCACTGCTCGTGACACACCGCGACACCACATCGTCCACACCGCTCAAAGCAGCGAGAAGATTCCAGTCCCAGGGGGAACCTCACTCACTCACTCGCCTTGCCTCGTAACGCATCTCAGACGGAGCACGCTCTCACGCAGCTCGCCTGACACTTGACTTGACGAGAAGAAGACTGACAACAACATTCGGCGAAAATGACGACGACAACGAAGATAACAACAACAGCAACAGCAGCAACAAAACAACTCGTACCGAAAAACTTTGTACGAATGGGGAGGGGAAAAAAGAGAAGGCCACGCGACCAGCATGCACCACACAGCGCAGTGCAGGGCGAAAACTTCGCAACTTTGCAAATAAATTAGGCAGAGTATTCAAATTTTATTTCCCGCTCGGCCTCCAAGTCATCACGTTGCAATCTTTACGGCCGGGCCGGCTCCACCTCTCTGTCACTTGGCCGGCGCTGCCGCTGCACCGCTCGCGCCCCCTCTGACGCACAAGTCCGGCCAGGGCAGTCCGTCCGTCAGTCTCCTCCTCTCGTCTCAACGTCTGTCTGTCCGCGTCCCGTCCGCCCATCATCTGACGAGGAGAAGAAGGAGAAGGGTGAGAGAGGAACGGTCCAGGGAGTCCCGAGCCAGCAAACATTACACGCGTGCATGTGTGTGTGTGTGTGTGGCGTGACACAAGGGAAATACAGTCGCAAATAAAAGGATAACTCAACCTCCACGGCAAGAAGGCTGATCTTTCGGTTATTCAGGAGTCCGTCGTGCACCCAAGATAGCATAGTTCTTGGCACAAGGGTACTGCGAAAATATCTTCACAAATTTACAACATATTCTGTATTCATGATTTACAAAATAAATTTTAAATTTACTAATACTGCTTGTTTTTGTTCGTGCTCTGAATTCCAAGTCGATCACAGTACTCTGTATAAGAATTTCAAATTGCAATTTTCCAACGCACGTAAGTAGTAGTAGATGGTGGAAGTAATATTTAGAAATAGTACTAGTCAGTGGTGGTGGAAATGATACAGCAGTAGTAGTTAGAACACTGTAAACGTGCGAGCCACAATGTTTCTCGTTCAAATTCTGTTGCGGAGCCCTACACCTCCATTTTCAGTGGAAGTCGAAGTTTTACAATTAATCATCATGCACCCCCAGCGCGCGCACTGCAGGGAGGGACGGAGTGCGGAGAGACAGACGGATGGGCCGCCGGCGGCGCCAAGAAGGAGCAGGAGATCGGGGGCCGAGGAGGAGTACAGCGAGAGCCACAGAGCACATACCGCTTGGCGTGCGCCCACCGACCGCCCCCCCCCCCCTCCTTAGTGGGTCCCCACCCCCAACCCTCGGGTTACACAGAGTTTAGCGAGTTATAATTCCGCCAACAGAATGGACGCGGAAACGGCCCCCTTTCCGAGGTTGAGAGCATTACCGCAAACCGAACGACCATTGTAGACGGGGCCGGGCCGCGCCCGGCAGGGAGGGATCCACTCATTACAGACACACCGCCCAAATTTTTACTGCCGCAAGAATGAAGAATTTTCTGGTCAGGAGGTATACACTGAAGAAAATAACCTGCATCGATCAGTTTTGTTTTAAAAATTGTCTTTGCACTTGTACAACACACTTTAAATATGTACTTGCAGCCACTGTAAAATTCTAACAAAACCCGGCCTTTGTAACTTACAGTGAATTTCGCACCCCTGTTTTACAAACACGATTTTGTTCGTCATACACACAGTGCTGTTCGTGCTACAAATAACACGGAAAAAAAGAATTTGCTCCCACAACTAACGATTTTGTTAACATAGACATAACAAATAATTTTTAGTTGCAGGAACAAAGAAATTGCTATGGGAACCAAAATTCTGCTGCCACAACTAACGCGTCGCTATGGTCGGCTATGGTAACAACTGCAACTGTTCTGGTTACTAAACGATGATTTTTTCTTACAACAAACGCATTTGTTACCATAGCGACGCGGCAGTTGTGACAGCAGAATTTTGGTTCCCAGAGCAAATTCTTTGCTCCTGCAACTAAAATTGTTTGTTATGTCCATGTTAACTAAATCGTTAGTTGTGAGAGCAAATTCTTTTTTTCCGTGAAGAAGTGTCTTCGTATTACGAACAAATACTATGTTTGCAGTTACAAACAAAATATGTCTCTTTCTTTGTACTAAGTTACAAAGGGCGTGTGCGTAAGAATTTTACAGTGATGTCTTTCATTCAATAAGCTACAATTTCTGATTGTGGTTGTAATTGTTTAATTTAGGATTTATTATTTTGCACGGTGTAAAAGTGGGGGAGAAAGAGGCAGGCGACTTCGAGGTGGGGAGAAACCTCTGCCCGCGTCTTCCCCTCGGTGTTGGCCGAGGCGCCGGCTGACCCCCACGCCACACGACGTTCGAGTGCAGGCTGCTGAGTTTTTAAGGATCTGGTCGAGTGAGGACTGGCTGACGGCTGCGACATCGTGGCTGACAAAACGAAGCGCGTCGTAATATCGGGGCAGGATGCCAGAGTGCACTGCTCTGCCCCCACCCCTCCTGCAGCCCCCCCTCCCCCCCTTCCCCCTAGTTTTCACAGCAGCCCCCTGGTTGGGTACGGATTATACAATTTTGTCACAACGACGTCGCAGATCGAGACTAGCAAAAGGCCCTCTTTATGTGAGGAGGTCCTTTCGACGAGCGGACCCGACAAAGAAATAAGGCAATTCTTAAAGAATATTTTTGATGACAATTTTCAGAACAGATGCACCCTAGCCAGGACAAACGGGACTTGTCAGCAAAGCGCGAGCGGTAGTGGGAGCGATGCGACCGGAAAAGCCCGCGTCCATAGAATCTACTTGTCTCAATGCATTCAGCATTTGCATTAAGACAAGTCAATTTACTTTACTTGTTGCAAGGACGGGCTTTTCCGGCTGTTGAAGGCAGGCGGGCACTCAGCACCGGGACCTCGGGACCTCGACATGCTTTCAAGTGGAGGGGGTAAATTTAGCGCCAACGGTCGGCGGTATTGACCCTATATTTTAAGGGAAAATAAGTAGTGCAAGACAACCCCTCTACCTCCGCGCTGGCAAGCGTTCGAGGCGCGCGAGCAGAATCACAGAACGAGAAGAAAGGACGATACGCGAGAACTTGAGTCTGAGCCTGGCCCATCAGAGTGCTGCTCCTGCTGTTTTTCAGTAAAAAGGAGGAGTAAATTAATCTAATACGCATCTGGAGATGTCATTTGAACAAGAATCGATTAATGTAATTTTTCTAAAACATAAAACATTATAAGATTTACTTCTGCATGACAAAACTAAAATATCATTATCAGGTTCAGGGTAGAGGACAGAATTTGCGAAGTATTACTAGGACAACCAACAGTATTTGCTTCTTACAGTGCACGACGTGGGCGGCCCGATCCTGGCCCCCTGTCTGGCGGGGTTACGCTGCGCACTTCACTACTTGTTAAACACCGTCTCCAGTAATAACCTTTTACCGCTCGCTTTTACCAGCCAGCCAGCCTCATGCTTTCGCGTTCCAATTCCAAATGTCACATGATATAAGGTGATCGGAAGGGCATACACTGCTTGCTACGCTAGATCAGCGACCCCTCCGGGTGACCCCCGTGCCCCTCAGCTACGGCCCCGGCACGCACCGCCACGGTGCAATAACGACCATGTAAAACGGGCGGACAACAACGGCGCGTCCCATAAAACAAACATATGTTATGGCCACGATTGATTCATTCTCCTCTCTTTCTCGCTCTCCCTCGTCGTGCGAGTCCCCAATCATTGAAACGACCACGACAACAACAACAAAAATCGCCTGCAGCGATGAGATGCCTCGATTAGATCAGGTGTCGCTGCCAAATTCGATTTGAGAAGAGACTCTAAACGCGAGCGACCGGAAAATGTTCACAAATTGGGCCATCCAACAAAATAACAATCAGAACAAAGGCGTCGTCTTGCACTGTTGCACGATGTGCGTCGCACTTCGGCCTCGGTTTTGTTTGTTATTTGACAGTTAACGCGCCGCAGGATGGGAGTCATTTCAGAATCGACACTTTGGGCCTCGACGTTAAGCCCCACAAAACGCACCCCTTCCACACTTCCGCAGCCCAATGGGGTGA